GAAATCCAACCTTGGCTCAACAGCGATGTCTAATGTCCAACATCGCTGTTGGAGGACTTAACGCCAAACCATGTTTTTAGCTACCCAAGCCAGACAGCGCTGTTGGTTACCTCAACATCGCTGTTGGGCTGGTTTAGCCAGACCCATGGTTGGTTTAGTCACGCCGTTAGCCGATGTCAAAAATGTAAGTTCTCCAAAATAAAAACCAAGTATTGAAAATGTTTGTTTAATGCATTTTGCTAAGAAATCAAGTAAGACATTTTGAAAACCACGTCATTTAGTTGAAAACCAAGGCTAGACAAGTTTACGCCGTTTCGCATGGTTTTCACTAAACGACCAAAAGCGAAAGGTGGTTTTTGAAGCGTTTTTGTTGGAGAACTATTTAAATATGCCCAGAAGTAAAAACCAGTCATAAAAAGTTGAAAACCATTTGGTTGGTTGGGACGCCAAAAACCAATGCCGAAAACCGAGAGCCGAACGCCGATTTCTGAAAACCGAACGCCGGATGGCTTGGTTTTTGGGTTGGGCGAATTCCAAGTGTTTTCAGGCAGGTTTAAGACTTAAGAAAATCATTTTGAATATGTAAAAAATATTTTGATGAAATGAGCCTAGAGAGCCATGTTTTGAATGTTTGTGCCGGTCTTGATCACATTAAAACCGACTCAATACAATTCTAAGTCTTCGTTCTTGATTCTTGGTTCTTGGTTCTCAGTTCATCATGCCAAGTTCCTTCGCCTTGGTTTTGCTCAGTTTAACCTTGTTATTGTCACGGCGGTTTGGCATTATCAAAACCTGTCATAAAACGAACACGGCTTAGTACGACATAGGCGTAAACCCGTGTTCCAACAGAGAGGGCCTTCATCATCAATGCCCTTCACTAGAGGGGGGGTGAATAGTGAGGCACGAGAATGTTTATAAATTTTTGGGGAATAAAAATCACAGGGATAAAGTAAACATCGGAATAAAAAAAGCATAAGGAAAGAACATACCAAATTTACCCTGGTTCACCACAACGTGTGGCTAGTCCAGCCTCCCGAGAGACTCTCTCGAGCTACACTACTTCCGTTAAGCTTACAAGTGCTTAACAAACCGTTACAACCTGAGAACTCGAGTCCCACGAGCCTCAACAACACTTGGTTGGAGATACCGCACTCCAAGACTTCAACTCGAAGGAAAATACCTTTCCTTCATACAACCAAGGGAACAAACCTCCCTTAAAGTGTTCACAACACTTAACTACTCAAGAACAAAAACTCTATTAAAGAGTAGAATATGAGTAAACTAATTTAGATCAAGAACACACTCAATTCCTCAAGAAATGGCTCTAAAAAGCTATGTAAAAAGTTTATGGAATGATGCAATGTAAAACTATGAAATGTGTGAGGAATGGTTGTGAAAAGTAGACCCAAAAGACCCTTATTTATACCCAAAAATGAAGTGTAACAGATGGGAGTTGATTTGGGTTTAATGGCATGAGGTAAGAGCTTCCCATCGCTGGGTGGGAGGTTGACTTTCAAACAAGGAAAGAATCAGCCTTAAATGCCTTACAACGGTCATGCCTTCCCATGGATGGGTAATATCTTCCCATGGCTGGGAAGTCACTTACCCAGGGATGGGTAATATCTCCCATCGCTGGGTGGCATGGTTCTGGAATCCCGGATCACTTACCCATGGATGGGTAATATCTCCCATCGCTGGGTGGCATGGTTCTGGAATCCCGGGATCACTTACCCATGGATGGGTGATATCTACCATCGCTGGGTAGATGGCTAGTCCAAAACCATGGCCTAGCCGACCGCCGCTGAAACCTGAT